GTCTCGGGGGGTAGACACGAGGAGGGGGCTAGGCGAATTTTGTTAATTGATTTATTGGTCTTGTTGTTGGTGGTTTTTAGTGGCAAGTTACGTCGTTGATGTCTTAAATTAAATAAGTAATTTTTAACGTTAACAGCAGCTCAAATTTTTTATGAATTGTTGCTAGAAATAGAAGTTCGATCCAATTATAATTGAGCTACGACAATCGTTTTTATTATTTATGAAAGTAATATTAATCTTTATTATTCTTATTGTTATCTTTATTATTTATTATTCTTTTCAGTTGAAATTTTTCCAACGTAATAAGGTTTTATCAAATAGTTCATATTTGTGGATATTCCTGGATTCAAAAATTAAAAAGCTTTTTTAATAGTAGTTGAATTTAAATCAATTTATATCTATTTAAAGCTCCACGGCAATCGAGTTATGTTTAATTAAGTTCTAACTTTATTATATAAGACAGTAAATAAAAAATTATTCAATCGTATTTATCAATGAAAATAATACGTTCCGGGATCTTGCAAATACATACAACAAAAATTGGCTGAAAGAGTTCTTTTTGACCAGTTTCTCTCTCTCTCTCTCTCTCTCTCTCTCTCTCTCTCTCTCTCTCTCTCTCTCTCTCTCCATCACAGTGAATGCGAAGCAATAAAAACCCGAGCACGCGAGCTAGGCTACATGTACGCACAGTGAATACAGAAGACGCGGCTTTCATCCCTTATCTCGGCTGAGCCACTGTTGACACAAGCGCGCGACGTTCGGATGCAACGACGATAGGCGCGCACGCCTGAAAAGGAGATTGATTTCCTTCCCTCCTTTTCGTATAGAGCCCCTTTTGTGCTGCTGCTGCCGCTTGATTATGCGAGCCGAGCAAAGCATTGATCGACATCGATAGGATTGTCATGAATATCGCGCGCCGAGGGATTAGTTTCTTTTATTTGCGCCTCATTGTCAGCGAAACGGGAGCCAAGCTCGATACGGCAAATTAGCTTTGCCTTTTTATTGCATTTTCCTTTTGGCGTGCAGTCTGTGTAAACAGTGTTTTACGTATGAATTAACGAGGATTTCCGTTTCGAAAATAGACTATCGATCAACATTTGGAAACTTCATCGCGAGAATTATTGAATTACATTGGCGAAAAATAGACGTTCACGTTGTTTGATTCGAAAGGCGGATATGGAAAGAGTAAAGGAAGCGGATACAGAAATATCGTCGAAATCGAAAATTGAATAAATAGGCCGCATCTCCAGTTGTAATTTGATAGTCGCATCCATAAAATTTGATTGTGTCGAAAGAAGATTGAATTGGGGTAACCCATTGGAAAGCTGTTATTCCAGGTTTTCGTTGAAATTACATTTTTTTATTCTGCTGTACAGTTCAGTTTTCCACGATACAAATTATCCGGCTTCGCCCTGTAGTTTTACCCAATATCAGATACAAAGTGATCAATTTCCCAGAAAAATTACTCGCGTAGTAATAATGAACCACAGACGGAATTTCCAAGCGAACAGAATATCCCGGCTAAATATGAATCTTCAATGTATTTTTCATTCGTAAAATAAACGATAATTAGTAAGGCGCAACGTTATGGTCGATAAGATCCGAAAATCGTGAGGCTCCTCGTCATTTGAACACCAAACAAAAGAGATGACGCGAAGTAAAACACAATTAGATGAGAAAGAAATAATTACCAAAAATAAACGAGCACGAGAGGCGTGGAAAAGAGAAAGAACGCTCGAGCGTAGCGTCGGTGAGTTTTAAATCAAATTTAAGAGAATGACTGGTCTTGCTCATTTGAGCGCGCGCGCCAAAGGACAAAAGCCTTTTGAATCTCGTTGTTTCGAGGACTTTTGGCGTGGAGAGGAAAGGTTGACAAATGAGCATTGTGGCCTCGTTTGATGCACCTTTAATTCCTCCGTGCGAGTGTATGTGATCTTTTCTTCAAGTGATAATGCTCACACCTCGAGGACGGGATGAGTTATTTTTCAAAGGGCATCGCGTGCTCCTGACCTTTCGTGCTTGCCCTTGTTGGGAACGCACAATGCAATTTTCGGTGTCGCGAGATACATTATGTACGCTAATGGGTTCATTTGTACTTTTTTTACGGTATTCTATCATCTCGCCTACGCTTGTTACATATTGCATTACGTGTGCATTACTCATTTGCTCTTGTGTGCACGTGTGAGTAATGAGTTCTTCTAGAAGAGGCATAGTTATTACAATATTTGTGCAGGTTCTGAAATTTACTGAAATTTTTATAGCAAAATGGAATTTATCGCTACACGTTTTGTCGTAAAATTCCGTCGCCGTTGGCCTGTTTGTCAAACAATCTTTTAAACGTGCAAGTACCATTAGTTCCTAGGGACCGTGAAAAAGAACCTGTACTCCGTGCGTCGACACAGATAGCTAAAAAAGAAGAAGGTGAGGGTTTCGCAGAGAAGACTTTCTGAAAAGCGACAGTCACTCTAAATGTTTATTCTCAAAAGCGCACTTCAGAAGTGGGCAAAAAAGGGAGAAAAAAAACAGTGAAGCTGCTCTTTGAATTGAGGCTTGGGCCACCATTTATTTGCCCGTCGTCGTCGCCGTTGAGTATTGTCTTGCTCTCTTTCTCTAGTCGCACTTTTGCTCGTCGTCGTCGCCCACTTTATATATCTGCGCACGACATTTTTCTCTTTTCTCTTGACACTCGACAATGGACGAATTGTGCGCGCCGAACGTATAAAAGTACAGTTTGCGCGCGCCTCACGGCCGGGAGCTTTGTTGGGTGGTTTTCCTTTCTTCTACGTACACTCGTTCGCGCCGTGCGCGCGCGCGCGCGCGCGCACTTCAATAGTGCAATTTTTAAACTTTTGACTTTGTCACGCGCAAGCTTATACAGGCTGGGAACTCTGTATGCGGAGTCGTAAGTTGCCGTTGTTATTTTTTTCGCTTCGACGGAAAGAAAACTTTGAGTCGACAACCTGCGAATGAAAGGCACATCTTTTACGATTTTTGTGCTTTCAAAGTCCGCGTGACATTGCATTCAAATATTTCGCTTGTACAGCAAAAGAATTTTCCAATTCATTTGGCGTGTGTCTACATACATAGCAACTATTAATGTACCATTCTAACCAACCCTTGCGCGTATATCTTGGCTGTGTCAATAATTATTGAAACGTAATGACTATATTGTGAAATCAATGGGTTTATATTAGAATAGTTTCCATTATACCACCGTTAATGTTTGGTTTATTGGCCGCTTGTAACGATATTGAATTTTACAGACTCGAATGTGTATAACCGACTAACGTATTATGTGCTTCGATGATATCCATTATTCCACATGAATTCGATGCTATTCGGTATCCATTCAATTGCGTAATTGTTCGCAACCAAAGATCAATTGATTGACGTTGAAAAATCAGCGAAAGACTTGAAATCGGTGAAATCAAAAAGCAAATGATGAAATAAATCAGAATCGGTTCGTCTCTGGGAATCAACAAAAAGGAAGCTCCGTTAGCGGACTGCGCTTCGAAGCACGCGTTTAGTAAAGCAAAAGGTTGATCTCGCGCAGTATCCAATTAACCCAAATAGTCACTAAATCAAGAGATACGCGTGCACACTTCACGTAGTCGTTCCGGCGTTCCTCCACGCACTTTCGGCCTCGCTGTGCAATCATGCATTTTTCGTGAGCACGCGCACCTTTCAATTCTCGTTGCCAACGGGGCCCATAACTTTTCCGGATGCGCGAAGGCGATTAGATTCTCTGTCAGCGTGAATGCTAAATCACGATCGTGACCCGAGCTCGCGAGCACTGTAATATCGTGCTCTTTTTGGCCAGTTTTCGGCCGACGCGGTTGTTAGCTCTAATTGTTTGTCCGAGCTCGGGGTGAGTACGCCAAGCACCCGATTGTTTCGCACTCGGCGTCTCCGCTTAATTGTAGCTTTTACCAAGGCTACGACTCCGTGGTCAATCTCTGCTTTTTGCTTCGTTCGCTCTGTTTGCTGGCTGTTGTGGACATACAAGTATAGGCAGTACAATCAAGCTGCATCATCGCTTTTGATTTCCGTGCCATTTATATTAAATATTTAAAGGAAACACTTAATTATGAAAATGTTTTCAAGTTTTATTTTTTTCATTTGAATATTCTACTAACAACTACAAATTATTTTCGTAAATATCAAAACAATATGTATCCAAACATTTGTACGTATAAAGAATTTAATGATAATGCTGAAATATTAGTTCTCATCCATGCCAATTCAAGGTATCAATTATTCAATTTAATTGATATCAAAACACTATTTTATTCATCGATAACAGATCACGTGTAGATTAGCAAAAGCAGAAAATTCGACTGGGAAAGATATTAGTACGATGATATATTAAAATAAATAATTACTATTTGTGTTATTACATTCTATTCAATGATTCAGGATCGACGTTAAATCGATATTTGAAACGTGGCGCTTTTACGCTATTGCGTCACGTTACCGAATTCGGTCAACGATGGTAAAGATAGACGACCTCCGCTCAGATAATTGGTGGACATCCGTGAGTTTAGCGTTGTAACGCGCCAGTACTGACTGAATCACAGCTGGATATGTTGCATTTGAGTAGTTATTGTTATATGTTATTGTTAAAATGATTTAATAATAAAAGTGAGTAACAACATAATCATAAATAAAAATATCAATGGCAATTTGGTATGTGAAGCCATGTAGTATACATAATAAATATTGTTTTCCTCATTCTTTAGCTCGATTTTAGTAGCACTTTCAATGTAGATAGATAACGTCCATGCAATCAATTTAATTATCTTTGAAAAGGCATTGATACTTAAAATGTTCTCTCTTATTATTATATACAAAAATATATTTTACGTAAGCCTTACATTGAACTGACCGTTACCCTACTTATTTCCCTAAAAAACCCTACACAAGCAAATAAGATTCTTTCTAGTGTTTACTTTATGACAGTGCACTTCTTTTTTTACACTGACATATCTATTTTGAACACGAGTAAAGCATTTTTAATTTATATTTTATTTGTATTCTATTTATAAATGTACTCATTGAAGAAATCAAGTCATTATTTTTTCCAGAAGCAGTAAGTAACATTAATTCAAAAAAAGAAACTGCAGCTGACGAAGTGGACGTTTCGAATGGAGCAGTCGACTGGCAACGAAAATCTTGAGAGCAAGCCAAGTGACATTGACTTTCACGATTTGGAGACTCTATTGCAACAAGGTCTCGGTAATAATGAACTCAAGGTTATTGATCATCAGACGAAATATCTTTTGCCAGCTGGAGAAAATTATAGTAGCCTTGTAGTAAAACTCGATGCGACCATCTGCAGAAAAGATGATGCCGAAAAAGAAATCTTGCATCTTGTGGCGAAAGCCAGAATTCCGAACGATGAATATCTAGACAGTTGGATACTGGGCTTTAAAAAAGAGGTATTTGCTTATACTGAATTGTTACCCATATATAAGGATATTGAAGTAGAAGCTGGCATCCCGGAAAATGAATTGATAGATATCATCCCAAAGTATACGGGCCATAGGAATTCATTTAAGAATAATAGTGAGATAGATAAGGATTCTCTCATTTTGATGGAAAATATGAAAATGAAAGGATACTATAACTGTGATAGGCATACTGGTAAGCATTATTAATAAGTTTACATTCTGTAATTATTTATTTACGGTCTTGTGATGAATTAATTTAGAATTAATCATTTGTACCTGCATCTGTAAAATAAACATAGCTAAAAATAATTCTATTAAAGTTGTACAAAAATAAATACATTTTAGGTCTCGATTTGGAGCATGCGACAATAGCTTTCACGTCTCTTGCAAAATACCACGCGCTTGGTATAGCCATGATGCAGAAACGACCGTCTTTTGCTCAAATCGCCATGAGAATTTCGGAAACCAAATTTGTCGACCAATCCGTCGTGGAAGCTTACGATACTGTACGCAAAGCTTTCCATAAGTATTCAAGCTTGGCCGTCTACATCGATCTCATCGAGGCATCAATTACGTATATGATTGACAAATTGTTTTCGCAAGAAATTAGACCGGTAAGGCTATGGGATGCAATAAGTCATGGAGATTTTTGGACCAACAACATACTTTTCCACAAGAACGATCAGAATCGAGTCGATGATGTGAAATTTGTCGACTGGGCCTTGTATTTTCGTATTAGTGTTCTCGCTGATTTACCATATTTTTTATGTACTAGTATTCAAAGAACTGTTTTAGATGACCATTTCGATGATTTATTAAATTTATACTACGATACCTTCATTCGAACACTTGAGCGAGTTGGTTGCGATACTACAATGTTTACTAGGAAGAGTTTCGACGCAGAACTGAAGAAACAAGCGATCAATGAACTTGCCATGTGTGCACTTGCTATTAAATTCATTCATTATCAAGTTGAAAAAAAGGATGAAGAAAATAGACAATTACATAAGAATGTGTTTGAGAGTGAGAACGATAACTATGAGGTTAGTTTGTTGAGGATCATTGAGATTTACCAAAGGAGGAAATGGCTGTGATGGATGTTTTCTCAATAAGAAATCACGAGAAACTAGATTGCAACTATGGTATATGAGATTCAGTTAAACTACTGCCAGTTTTACTAACGCATAAAATATATTTTTTAAATAATGATAAAAAAAGAGCATTTTAAGTATCATTTGTTTTTTTAAGATTTCTCATGGTTCTTATTATTCTTTAGGAAAATTTCATTATTTTACTAAAGATTTGTTTAGGTAATTTTAAGAACTTTATTGACAGCAATCTTGGTATGTTTTTGTAATAAATTTTATATTGATATTTATTTTAATCACTAAACTCAACGTTATGGGAAAAAAAGAATTTTTTTTATATCGAGTCAGTAATTTGTCTCTGTAGTTTTATTTTCTTCTATTACACTTGTTTAACATTTTTTTACCAAACTATAAGTTCTTATCACATTATTGTATCTATGAAGCAGATAATAATTGAAGATTTACATTGACTCCAGTTCTCTTGAAAAATATTTTCAGATTTTTTGTACTATTATTAATAAAAGATTTTATTGCACAATTTCAAACTAAATGATTACTTAATCAATAAAGTAGAAATTTTATAGCTAAGCTTATCGTTGCATTCTTTTCATCCCCTTAGTGTCTAAAAGTTCTCATTGATAGACATTAAATAGCATACATCGCAATGGTTATCATGTTCCGTTTTCTAATTTCGAATAACCTCTCTAGAAATACGTAAAAACCCTTTGTTTTTTAGCAGCCTTAATCAAAGCCAAAAAATCACGAAAAAGACCGCGGCTCTCGACCACAGTTAATCCCGACGCTCGTAAATTCTCAAACTGCAAGTGTGCACGCGTCTTGGCATTTCTTTCGCCCCTCTAATCAGACCAGAGATTTTGGAGAAATCGCCGCCGGCAGTAGTTCACCTCTTTTCTCCGCACAACTGTTGCTATATAATGCTCCACTCTCCTGTGGCACATCTGCTGTGGTGTAATTTGCCTGCGAATATAAAGGGGGCGAACAAGAGAGCTGCAAAGAGAAATCAATCATATCCTGAATAACGACGTTTAGCCTTTTTCGCGCCGCGCGATTGGGCCTCTGGCAAATTTATGCGACAATTATCTTAAACAATGGGGCAATGAAACGTGAGTTACTCCTTTGGCCTTTCGCTCTATTTCACGCTCTTCGCCAGTGAGACCGAGCTTTCCAGCTAAGGTGGTGGCTTTACTGCAAGCTACTTCGACGATTGCTTTAATATATCTCAAGTAAATTCTCTGCTCTCGCTTTTTCTTCGCTGAGTTTATTCAATTGGATTTTTTTCAATTAAATTTACTACCGACGCTGAGCTCGATTAGTACAATTTTTAAATAATCAAAAATTACTCCATTTTAATTCATCTCAATGAATTATGTAAATTATTTTTTATTTTTATTTCGCTTATCGGGTGAAAATTTTTTCGATGAAATTATTTCCAAATTCATTTTTATAGTCTGCATTTAAATAATTTTATTTTATCTTAATACATTCAATTATTAAGTACCATACAAAGCAACTGGCTTTGAATAATTTCCGTACAATTTTTTTGCCAGATTTTTTAACAGCACGATGATAGCAAGAAATGTTTTTTAGCGCAAGTTATACTGTCAATGTAACTTCATTTTACAAACTTGAAACAGACTAATAGACAAAAAAGCACAGGTTAAAACGCAGATTGCGGCATATGTATCTTTATGTTTTATAGATCAACGCTTACACAACTGCAAACAGGAGGCTAGGAAACGATGAAAAAGTTCATTCTCGTGTATTTACCGAAACGCTGAATCAATAGAATGCATTTTCACCCGGACCCGTCGAAAATTCCAGGCACTTTGTTTCGCAGTTGACCGAGCGCGTAATGAAAGCTCGCGCGCGCGCGCGCGAGCGTTTGGCTTTTTACTCTTTCCGAAAAACACACAGAGCCACGCACAGCTGCCGAAGAAGCGAAAATCTCCAATGCAAACACGTCCGACTTGTACGCTCGATTCGTTGTTTTTCACCGCCGCCTGGCCGCACTGTGCGAATAAATAACAAAACGAATGCTGACTGGACGATGCATAGATGGATGGGCTGCAGGTACACACCGCATGCCACACCACGGTTTTCCACTCACCCTCGCGCGCCCAATGGGATTTCTTTTTCTGGCCGGCTGTTAATAAAAGAGGAATGGAGCGAGTTTGTTGACTCGGCTAAGCGGCTAGGCTACGTACGCGCGCGGGTCAATATAATGCTCGTTGCTTTTTTCCCTGTCTCTTTTGCCATTTTTCGCGTGCTCACTCGATTAGATAGATTTACATGCTCACCCGTACATTGCTGATCGACGACACTTTATTACAACATTACATATTCGCGCTGTTGTTGTCAAGCTCTTACATCTGTTGCATTCGTTAAATAATCTTTTTAATTTTACTAATTTATTTTCATAGAAGCGCAAGTACGATTATCATCTTGAACATTCGTATATTTTCTTAATTATAGAAGAAATTTTATTTTAAATTTAATTATTTAATGTCGCATTCACCTGGAAGAATATTAGCGACCCGAAGGTACATTGTTATTTGCATTTTGAGTTAGTAATACATATATATATCATAATAATACACATTTGGTAGTAGTGGTTTTGTGTTGTATGTATGAGTGGTTTGTATGATTCAAATGTTTTTAATTTTTGTTTTTTGAAGGAATTTTGAAATTAATGATAGTTTTGTATTGGTTGTTGAGAAAATTCTTTAGATTATCTGCAAGCTTGAGTTTCCGGCGTTTGGTTTGGTACTTCAGACAGTGTAGTAAGAGATGTTCTGCGGTTATTCTGGTTTGGCAAATTACACATTCGGGAGGATTTTCTTTTGCGAAAATATGTTCGTGAGTAAGATGACTGTGTTAAATGTGATAAATTCTTAACCGTGTAATACATATTTGTTCTCTTATATAGAAAAAAATTGATGACATTAAAAATTATAAAAATATTTTTTTTTAATTCTGAAGTATGTATAACCGTAATATGTAGACTAATATGACAGTCATACATACAGTTATGATTACTTTACACTTGCCTTATTTTTATAGTTTGCGAGTAAAGTTAACGTACCAGCATCCCATCTCAACGAACTCGCAACAAGCTTCGTTTAACAAATATGCAATGTTGAAAACGTGTTGTGTTAACGAGGCCTGGACAAGTCGAGTGTCCACGCTTCAAGAAAATAAAAAAATACGAAAAAGATCACAAAAAAAGAACGTAGATCCCATTCTCTAGAATGATAACCTTTTATTCTCTGTCAACACATGAGCGCGCCTGTTGCTTCCTCTTTTCGGTGGCATCCGCGTCCAATTATTCGTAATTACAGGGGGAGTGAACGACTGTCGCCGTGACTGTTTTGATAATTGGCGCGCGCGAGCTCGAACAATGACTCGCTTCTCTTTACGTGACAAAAGTCTCTCTCTCTCTCTCTCTATTTCTCTGACATTTTCACCTGGAATTGACACGCTACAACGAAATTGCGAAATCGTGGTGTCGCGTTCTGCGATTTCTTTTTGCTGTTTCTATCGTTCTATGATTTATATTTCGTTCAATTTGTGTGTGTGTGACTGCGCGAGTGTTTTTTTCTCTCGTTTTTCAACAGTAGCTGCGTGCAGCTGTGACACCTGTGTTTTCATTTGTAGTTTTGAATTGTGCTTTCACTCTTTGTTTTTTTTTCCGTACGATGTGTAAAACGAACGACAAGCATAAAAAAATACAGGAAGGATTGCTTGCTTGCAAGCGAGAAGGAATTGTTTTTGTGCATTTAAATGATATTTTGAGCTCGGGTAAAAATATTTTTCAAAATCTTGAAACATCACAAATATTTGAAATATTTTGCATAAAAAAAATTTTTTTTTAATAATTCATTGACTGAACGATATTTAAACTTAACAAATTGTTCCATTTTACTCGTGAAAATAATCAATCACTCAGAGCGATTATCAAAAAAATGCTAAAATTGCTCTCATCCATATTTCTCACGCTCGAAAAAACCTGCTCTCCAGGGTCTCGTGTGCGTCGTATGTAATAAATCGTTAAAAAAATCAGAGTTCTATAGAGCAATCATCCGCAATTTCCTTGTCGTCCGAGCTTCACTTTCACCTTCGGCAACATGTCAAAAACCTTCATCATTTTTCTCAAAGCTTGAATTCTAGCCCCCCCCCCCTCCCCCTCCTCATCCTTTTTTTCGTTTTTGGATAATTGGGTCGAAATTATACGGCACTTTTACCCCGATCGAGAGCTATGTGTACCATCGCCATCAAAACGCGTTACACGCAACGGGGCGCAACACGCGAGTCATTGGGATTAACTTTCTTTCTTTGTATTGCTGATTCACTCATATGCCCAGTGCTTCATCCAGTGTGCAGAGGATCGCACTGATCTTTGTCTTTTGGAAAAACTGTGCGTGAGAGTGAAAATGCGGCTATCGATTACGTTTTGGGTGGACAAGCGGTTTGCTCGTTAATAAATCGATAAAAGAGTTATACGCTATGATGATGTTGCCTAATAGCAGTGCTTTTCATTCTTTTTGTTGTGGAGAGAGAGAGAGAGAGAGAGAGAGAGAGAGAGAGAGAGAGAGAGAGAGAGAGAGAGAGAGAGAGAGGAGAGAGAGAGAGAGAGAGAGAGAGAGAGAGAGAGAGAGAGAGAGAGAGAGAGAGAGAGAGAGAGAGAGAGAGACCGCCCACCGTTTTAAACTTTGGATCTTTTGCTTTTGTTTCGGTCATTTTGAACTGTCAGGTGTACTTTATGATTAGGTGCAAGTCAGATCCAACTGCATTCTTTGTCCGATTGACATCTTCAATTTTTTTAACAATTGGCATTCATTTCATGAGTCCAGTCACTTGTATTTCAAGGTTATTTATTTTTAACTGTGTTTACAGGACACTGCATTTTCCAACTACAAAGTTCACTCTACTCTTCAGAAACATTTTCTTTTGTTTTGTGTACTGGATACCTTAGAAAATTCGGAAAAAAAATCCATAAAATTTAAGTAAATTGTTTATGTTGAACAAATCAATCTCTTCTTTGTTTGTAATTGGTGATTCATTGAAGGGCGATATTGCTCAATTTGAGTAATATTTATTACAATAACTTAACTACAGTACAGACATATGCTTGCATGGTAAAATGCCATAATGTTAAAAAGAAAATATCCATGCAATAAAATTTCGAATTTTGTACGTGTATTCAGCATAATAAATAAATTTATCTCATTCAATGGCTGATTGATGCTGCCACCTGTGAGCGATTCTCCTAATTACAAATACA